AAAATATTTGCCAGATGGTAATGTACCCTTACCTGCTGTGTAATCTTTTGTTGTTTTATCTAGAGAGATTTGGTAATAGTAAAGTTAGATCTAGGCATGAAGACACACAGGAGCAAAGTAACATTCAGTGGTTACCCTACAATTTCTTGTTCATTGAAATGCTGCAAAGCTAGGAAATCAGAAGCTAACAGAGTCTTTCCTGGGATTTGGAAACAAAATAGAAGTAGCATCTGTATAATCTGTATATTGAATTTTATTTCATTCTTGGTAACAAAGGGGTTTAAAAAAGATAATTTGTCTAAAATATGAATTGCAGATAATCACAAATGTAGATACCATATTGGACCAAGTAAAAAAGATACCTTAGTAGTAATGTTTTTGTAAGGAATATGCCATAGTTGTAATCTTAGTTTGTGGCTTTTGAACCACAAAGATGTCTAAGTGCGGCTACCCACAATGTATAATGGGGGTGGGGGAATATGGCTGAAGATGGAGCATTTAAACCCAAATCAACTTCAAATCAAGTAGACAACCACATTGTATGCCGTTATAGGCCAAAATTATATAAAAGATCATTTACTCCCGTACATAATTGCACCTTTTGCTGATCCTGCAAAAGTAGATGCTTCTACTTCTACCTCTACTTTGTTTGTGATTGGACCTATGTTACAGGACAACCTGGAGTTGAGACTGGACTTATTTTAAAAACTTAGAAAAGGGCTTCAAGCATATCTATTACAGAAGCCTTTTAAGTAAGAGATTTGTAATGCTGTTAGTTTTGAATATTTTTAATTGGAGTATTGAATTTTAAATGGAATTTTAGATGATGTGAATCACTTGGCATCCCAAAATGGAAGAGGAGTCATAAATTTTTAAAATAAATTTATAAACAGATAAGGCCCTTTTTGTAACCTAAACAGTTTATGAAAAAAGGACTAATAATTCCCAAAGTCTTTGAACACAAATATGGTTTTTGGTCCTTTTATTGTTCAATTGTCATTTAGTTTTTGGAGTGTCTCTTTACCTTCAGCGCAGTTGCCATTCAGCTGTTTTGGGGACAACCAGTTCTTCTCTGCAGCATTAAAGACTGTTTCTGCATTAATTTTCTCCTCCGTAGCTTCTCTTCCTGTACGAGAGCTCCCTCTACTTGAAGATAATTGGTTTTGTCAGAGCTTGCTAGTTGAACATTTAAAATCCTTTGACTATCTTGTATTCATTTATATTAATAATTTTTAGTAGCCTGTATAAAAAGGTTTGCTGGTCAATGAGTGAAATAAAATGACTGACATGTAAAAAGAGCATCTTATTAATATTATGCTATATATTTATAATTATAAAAGTACCAGAGCAGTTTTATCAACTCCTAGATTGGTCACTGTGGAAGCAGTTTGCATCTAACAATAGAGCCTAGTCCTTCAACTATGGATTATTATTTTTTTGCACCCATGCTAGATATAGTGACATAAGGAAATTTTCCATTTTCAATAGACTAAATAAATTATATTATTATGGTATAGACTAGTATTGCAAACAATAACAATTGGAACTCTGCAAGGCGTTCAAAGGGGTGCTTTCTGTTGATGTACATAAAATTCATCTAATCATCCAGAAAAAGAGTGATGAGAGTCATTATTAAACTGTTGTGCGAGTCTCTATAGAAAACAGTATAATAAGACATGGGCCAGTGGTTTGACTGTTCCATCATTACAGCCGCATAACCTTTTGGCATAAGAACACTTCTTAAATCTGCCCTCGAAAATTGCTGACGGTAAAATATTAGCACATAGTAGCATAAAAGCTCTGCACTATTTAGGTACAGTTAATCAAAGCACCTAACTGGGTTGGACATTATTCAATTGGCTTCCTAACTCAGCATATTCCTTATTCTCTACTTACAATCTGGGATTCCATATCCAGGATCCTTGGTTTGAATGCGGCATTTCCTATTCTTCTCCAATCGCAAGGAATTTCCAGTCTTTGCTTCTGAAAATAAATGGTCGGATCTGAACAATCACAAGTACTCTGATAGCAGTAACCTCAGTAAAATAGTAACGAGGTCAGTAAAAATATGGACTAGAGAAATAATATTGCAAGATGGAAGTTAAATATCTCCATGAGAGATCTGTGAGATCTTTGCAGAGGCCACTCCATAGATCATATCTGGGCATTTTGTAGGTGGAAGACTATACATCTGGCCAGTAGGTGGTTCTAGTCTGATCTGCGGCATTGGTGAGCCTTGGTGGCACAGCAGACTAAAGCACTATTAAGTAAAGCCAGCTGCCTGCAATTACTGCAAGTTCAAATCTCACCAGGCTCAAGGTTGACTCAGCCTTCCATCCTTCCGAGGTAGGTAAAATGAGGACCCAGTTTGTGGGGGTAATAAGCTGACTTTGTATAAAATAGAACACCGCTTGGGGGCGGGGGCGAAAGCCCTACTAAGCAGGTATATACAAAATATGAAGGCTATTGCTTAACACATTGTAAACCATCCTGAATCTCCGGAAAAGGACGGCATATAAATCGAACCAATAAATCGAACCAATTGGTGGGAGGTAGGACTGTCATCATTGGCAGGGGGGGCATTGGTGGCAGGATTGGGGCATCGTGGGGGGTGGAGTGTTGGCAGTGTGGTGACAGTGGGGATATAGGATTAGCGGCCTTCTACAACAGTCCCAGTTTATCATGTGGACCTTTGGGAAAATTAATTGTCCACCCATGCTATAGATGAACAGCAACATACCTCAGAGAAAGTTATGCATATCTGATTTGCATAGAAGATGTTAGGCTTAGACTTAGGGAGTGACTATAGCAACCCTATCTGGGCTGAAGAAATCAGACTTTTCTATATCTCTTTGCTGTCCTCTAGTGATGATCTGGATGTTTGCAACCCTGATACTGTAGCATTACGGTTCTGCATTTCTCTGGGAATTGGAAAAAAATGTCTAGTCCTAGGTCAGTGTTAATGATCTGGAGCTAAATTGGCCCATAATCTGATTCCACTGCTTATAATAGTAGTGGAATCCATACCCATCTTCAAACATCATCTCCTTGGGTGGCTTTGGTAAAATTGTTTTCAACTTAGGCTGACTTACAGTATTATTTTACTGGGGAAAATTGGAGGGGGAAAAGCATGATTTTCTGAAGGGAAGGTGACATACCCATATAATAAAGTAATTGCTTTTGCACATTCCAATTCTCAAATATATATATATATATATATCTTGGTGTATTCGGGTCTTCTCCCGTGTAAGATTGAGAGCACTTTGGCAACGTTTCGGCAGAATCTCATCTGCCATCATCAGGCTTATGCAAGGGGCCTTCTGCAGCAACTGCCGTTACTATTTCAAATCTGGTGCTGGTAGTCTGCTTTTCTGGGATGGCCCCAGCAATGGGATGGCAATGTTGCTCCTAGAAGCACGAAGCCGAAAACACCAGCCTGAAGATGACGAATGAGACTTCGTTGAAATGGGCCAGTTAAGACTCTTGGACATTTACATTTGTTGCTGCTTCATATTTACTGGAAGGATGGCAAGAGGTACACTAAACCAAAAAATTTCTCTAGAGCCCTAATGGTAGATTTAGAAAAATGGGTACAAACTGAATTGGGTTTGGAGATCCCAAACAAGCTACTTAAATCCTGAATGCTAAAACCAAATTGAACCACAGTGACCAGAATTCAAAGCAACACCCTCCAAAATGGTGGGTAGCCAATTTTTCTGATGTTAGCAAGCTGAAGAAGGATGACTTCTTCACTTTCTTTCCCTGCCACTTGACAATAATTGTCACTATTGAATGAAAATCATTGGGCTATGAAAATCAACAGGGAACATATAAGAAGAAAAAGAACATAGTCTCTTTATATCCATCCAAATTGCCAGCCCTAGCATCTGTTTTGTTCTTTGTGGTAGAAGGGGTCACTTTGAATAGTTAAGACCTCAGTTGCTTCTGATCACTTTAAATAACTGAAATGGGAATAAAACTGGCTCTTTTATTATTTTAATAAAAGCTTTTAAAGTCTCTTCATCTAAAAACTCTTGTTCTGATGTAAGAGAGCAGTTGCGTGAAATAAGGATAAAGTATGAATTACAGTGCATTCAGATTGCATGTTTCTATATCATGTAAGTAGTGATTACATGATATAGAAACATGCAATCTGAATGCACTGTAATTCATAATTTATTTCAGATAGAAAGTGCTAGAAAATTCTCAGCATTTATGTGTCAGTGTCAGAATGAAGGTATATAAAAATTGGAAGGTTGTAGTATTCAATAAGTCTGATTAGTTAACTATTATGAGTGATCCTCTAAATCAGGGGTGTCAAACTCGATTTCATTGGAGGCCGCATCAGGGTTATTTTTGACCTCTAGGGGGGTGGGGGAGGCATGGCTAGCTTGAAGTCACTTGTGTTGGGGGCGCCTGTGGTGGCCCGAGTTCTCTATTAGCAAAAATGGGCTCCCGAGCTCAGTTTTCGGCTGCGACAGCCTCCTACAACCCTCTGCTAGCGAAAATGGAGCTTGGGAGCAGGGCATATGGCCCTCCCAAGCTCCATTTTCACTGCCAGAGGCACCACGGACCGGTCCTTCACTGTTTCCAGGGCAGCTCTGTGGGCCACAGCTAAGCACCCCGTGGGCCAAATCTGGCCCCCGGACCTTGAGTTTGACACCCCTACTCTAAATACTTGAACTGTTATAGTGTGGCCTGATCATCATTATGATATTCTACTACTACTTTATTAGGCTGTTGTATCATATTCAGTTCAGTTTGGTGTAACCACATTTACCAATTCAAGCACATTTTGGCAGTCTTATACCAGCCTTTTCCTCTTTCCTTAACATCCTTTATCAATTTGGCTTGGTGCACTTTTTATGTTTGTATAACTTTATAGCACAAGCAAGACAATGTAGTAGCAGAATATTTTGCAGATGAGTGAACATAACAAGCTGGGAACTTGAAATGACATTTCTACAAAAGTGTTTTTCATTTTCTTGCTTGTTTTTCAGGATCCCTTAGATCCAACAAAGACTGCATTTGTGATCAGTTCCCTTGTGCCAGGTGGAGTGGCTGAACGTGGTGCTGCGCTCTTCCCTGGTGACCGCTTAGTCTCTGTAAACGGTGTGTATTTGCATAATATTGATCTAGAAGAAGCTGTAGAAGTTCTAAAATCTGTACCACCTGGTGAAGTTCATCTTGGAATCTGCAAACCTTTGGTAGTAAGTAACATTCAATTTATGTTTTATAACATGCATGTTCCAGTTTAATAATTTATTTATTTATTTTATTTATATTTGAATTTATATACCGCCCTTCTCCCCCTAGGGACTCAGGGCGGTGAACAGCCAAAATTAAAATACATACAATATAAAAGTTAAGATAGCTAAAATAAATTAAATCAATCGGCCCCCAATTTAAAACCCCAAAGCTATACAATTAAAAACTAACCCATAAAAAACCTAATTATGCTAGGCCGGCTTGCTGAAATAAAAACGTCTTCAGGGCCTTACGGAAAGTGCGGAGATCCGGGATCAGTCGTATTCCGGGAGGAAGCTCATTCCAGAGGGTGGGTTCCCCCACAGAGAAAGCTCTCCCCCTGGGGGCCACCAGCCGACATTGCTTGACCAACGGCACCCTGAGGAGGCCCTCTCTATGAGAGTGTATTGGCCGGTGGGAGGTTATCGGTAGCAGAAGGCAGTCTCGTAAATACCCTGGCCCTAAGCCATGGTTAGCCAATGGTTAACACTTGAGCGAAAGTCACCAGGATTTTAATGGAAGCAAAATATATTTGCCATAAATTCTTTGAATGATTTATCGTCTTTCTGAGTTTTGCCATGATTGGAGATCCAGATGTTGTATGCTACAGAAACAGGAACATTTTGTCTCGGAGAAATGACTGTCTCCTTTTTTATCTCCTTTTTAGTTCAAATTTATATCCCAGTGTTTTGCCTTAATGGATTCTTGAAATAGTTTTGTATCACTTAAAACAAAGATATACCTTATATACAGTTGGATTAAAATTGTAATTCATAGAACAAAACCAATAGCAGCCATTTAATAAAACATTGAGATCACACTAGAAGCAATTAACATTGTAGAATAATTAAAGAAAAGAGTGAATGCAACTGCTGAGAGATTTCTGTTTGCAGTAATCTATACTACTGTGGAGAGAGCGATGGCTCAGTGGCTGACAACTAGGGTTTGAGACTTAAGTGCCATGCAATGGGATGAACCCCCATTACTTGCCCCAGCTCCTGCCCACATAACAGTTCGAAGAGCATGAAAATGCGAGTAGATAAATAGGTAGCACTTCAGTGGGAAGGTAACAGCGTTCCGTGCACCTCAACATACAGTCATGTTGTCCACATGATCATGGAAAAGGGTCTTCAAGAAATGTTGACTCCCTCGGCTAAGAAACGGAAATGAGTTCTGCCCCCTAAACTCGTATACAACTGATATGGGAAATCTTTACTTTTACCTTACACTACTGTGATTTAAATAAAATTAAAATTCTGCTTTTTGGAAAACTGCATTGATAATCCTTGGCCTTTGTTGATAATCTATTCTTGTCACATGCATCTTGCCTGATGTTTCATGAGCTCTCCGTTCATATATGTGTACAATATTAAGCGTATTCATTGCACATATTAGTGTACAAGATGTGTAATAGTTTTACAAACACCATCCAATGCTACAAAAAATGTGCAAGTCCTTCAGAACTTTTCATGAGTCTAGATCAGTGGTGAGGTTCAAAATTTTTTACTACCAGTTCTGTGGGCGTGGCTTGGTGGGCATGGCAGGGGAAGGATACTGTAAAATCTCCATTTGCTCCCCACTCCAGGGCAAGGTTACTGCAAAATCCCCATTTCCTCCCGATCAGCTGGGACTCGGGAGTCAGAGAATAGATGGGGGCAGGGCCAGTCAGAGGTGGTAGTTACCGGTTCTCCAAACTATTTAAAATTTCCACTACCGGTTCTCCAGAAGTGGTCAGAACCTGCTGAAAACCATCTCTGGTCTAGATGTATCAAAATCATTTGTCTGTTGTCCAGAATTTTAAAATAGTTTCAAGGAGGAATGTACAGGCTGAATATACTGGCTATTAGACGCAATATACTTTTCAGGTTCTATGTAACTTTCTGATTAATAAAAGGCATGGTTTTATCTAGCATTCTAAGACAAAGAGCAAACTCTTTAGTTGACCATGCCATAAGACCTTAGGTTCTGGGGAAAAACAGCAATAAAAAGAAATATGGTAGTCTTTATATCGGCAAAGCAAGATATTAAGTCAACTGCTTTTGGCTACCTAAATCAAATCAAGTTTTTACTACAGGCTTATAGTCAGAAAAATTACCTAAAACGTATAGAGCAGGGCCATTTTATTGTCCTAAAAGTATTGTCCTAAAAGCAATTAATGATTTTTTGATATAGTTTTAAAAGAAAATACACATTTATTTATATACATGTACAAACTGTATAATAATCAGAGTACGATAGGCTATAGAATGGCTTGTACTTTGAGGAGTCCAAATGTCCCAGCAGCCCCAGAATTAAAAAGAGTCATCTACAGCATACAATATAAAGACTTGCAACACCCACTACATAGGAGAAACAGGCAGAAGACTGGCAGAATGCATCCATGAATATCAACTGCCATAACGGTCAGAAAACAGAATGAAAACTCTTTAATTTCCTAACATATAGACAGACTTAACCATAAGTTCAGCTTGGAAACAGTGACTATCCTAGTCCAATTCCTAGCAGCCTAGCACTGTGACTAATTGGCCATCAATAGACACACAAATGTAAACAACATCTACATACTGTGCAAAAGAGATAAAAAAAAAACCAGACAAAAAGGGAACAAAAAGACCAAACACCTTCCCACCATCAATCAACACCTAGATGAGATAGATTAACATCAAGATTAACTTCAGCCCAACAATCAAGAAGTAAACAATACCCCAATTAAGGAACTGCCAAACAAGCTAAAAGTAAACCTCCTAACCAAAGAATCAGCAAAACCACCCTTCCATCAATGCTGACTGAGCAAACCATTAGCATATAAAATGAGAGCTAACACACTCGTTACTAGCACTGATGATGTTACCTAGTTTGGTTTATAAAACATCTGCAAGAAAACAAACAAGCTCAGAGAGCACCAAGGACCAAACCTGAGATACAAATATTGTCCTTTATCGGATTGTCCTTTATTTATTTATTAAATTTATTTGCCGATCATTTATTTGCAACGTTTGCAAGGCATACATTGCCGCAATTTTTCATAATCTTAAATGAGTATGTATCATTTGATACATAATTGCAAGTTGCAAATATTATGCACCTTTTAAAGTATAAGGCTTTTTAGACTATGTTGTTCTTTCATGGGTCCATAGTGGTTTCTATTTAATTATCACAATTTAGCTATGGAGTTCTTATAGCCTCAGATATTCCTAAGTAATTCACTAGTCCCAAAACTTTAAAACATTTAATTAAAAAGTTAAAACTCTACTAAAATATGCCGCTTAAGCCAGTGGAAAGTGTAGATAATGATGAGCTAGGAAACTGCCCTGCTGTTTTCGTTAACTTTATTAACATAGGAATTTGTGGGCAGAAGTAATTTAAAGTAGACAAATAAATTAGTGTACCATAGGATTTGGGAATAATTTTATATTGCCCATATGTTTGGCTTATTGAATCTAGCAGTTCTTTTCACATTTCTCTGTATTTCCTGTATTATATATTTCTTCTTAGGACTGACTACAGGTAATGATCACAATTGAGCCCAAAATTTCTGTTGTTAAGTGAGTTTTGCCCCATTTTACGACCTTTCTTGTCTCAGTTGTTAAGTGAATCACTGCAGTTGATAAGTTAATAACCCCGTTGTTAAATAAATCTGGCTTCCCCATTGACTTTGCTTGTCAGAAGGTCGCAAAAGCTGATCACATGACCTTGGGGCAATAACGGTCATAAATATGCCAAGCATCTGATTTTTGATCATATGATCATGGGGATACCGCAAAAGTTGTAACTGTGAAAATGGCTATAAGTCAGTTTTTGGCCATTGTAACTTTGAATGGGCACTAAATGAACTGTTGTTAAGTTGCGGACTACCTGTATTAACTTTCCATTTTACTTTCTGCACTTCTTTGGAGTATCCTCAGATGCAGGAATTCTGGGAGTTGAAGCCCACAGGTCGGAAAGGAGTCATAGTTGCCCATCCCTGCTCTATAAGCTACTCTGTCCACAAACTGCTTTCTTGCTTTGTCTTCTCTTTTTAAAAAGTTGGGGTTTGATATTTTCCTGAACAATGACTTTCTTTTTTAAGGGAGAAAATAAACATAATGGGACTTCTTCTGTGGAACCGGAGAGACTTAACAGAAGTTCAGCATCTCAGGAATCAATCAATAATATTGAGTCATCAATCTTCCTTCCAGTTCCAAAGGTTTTCTATTATATTGATCAGATTTATATTTCTGTTACAATAATATTTGTCCTATGTAAAGGGCTTTTTCAGAATGAAAGTTGAATTGAGATATACTAAATATTCATTTGAATTAGTTATGATCTTTCCTAAGATATGCCACTCTATAAATCTAGATGGGAAGAATGTCTCTACAGGTAGACTTCCAAGGATTGACAAGTTTGTTCGCTTTGGCAAAAGTTGGCAACTTGAAAGTTCATTAGTAGACTAGTGCCAGTATAATTGTAGAAGATAATTTCAGTAGGTAGCCTCATTTCTTTAAAGTGTAACATTATGTTTATAAATTAATGTTTTTTAAAGCTAAGAAAATGTTTTGTCAGATCTGTCTGACTGTCTGCCTGCCTATCTATCTACCTACCTTGTTGTCTGTCCGTCCATCCATCCATCCATCCATCCATCCATCCATCCATCCATCTATCTATCTATCTATCTATCTATCTATCTATCTATCTATCTGCTACTAATTGGCTCTGGTTTGTTGTTTTGTGTAGGACTTCAGAAATGAATCTAAAGAAGAACTTGTTGATGAGCCCGTCTTGGAAGAGCTTGTTGATGAGCCAGACTTGGATTTGGGGAGACAGTTTCAACTTATGCAGAGTGAAACAGACGTTGATCAGGAATCTTGGGAAATGCATGAGATTTTGAAGCCTATGGAAGAACAGCTTGGTGAAGAACGAGAGATGTTAGTGGATGAAGTGTATGATATGGATCAAGATTACAAAAGAGGTCCGTCAGTAAATATGAGGGAAATACCTTCATCTCCTGTGGTGGACTTTGAAACTGAAGGATATTGGGTTGAAGAATTAGACTGTACTAAAATGGTTGAACCGAATCCTGCAAACTATCTTAATACTGAAGAGGTATTTACTGATATATATGTATGTAAAGTAAAGAATAAATGAATGGTATTGCGATGTCATATATTCAGTGCAATTATTACTATTCTCTTAATTATAGTGCTTTAAAATTCAGTGCCTAAATAGTCTGAAGATCATTAAGGATATTCAGGTGCTTTCTCTAGATACCATTAGCATAATGCTTAAAGAATTCATAACAGATTTTGGAAAGCAGGGTTTAATTAATGATATGTCAGTTTTTAAAACCCAGCTTCTGTTAAACTCATCTTTGTTTCTGGTAGCATACAGCTAAGCTAATGACTTTCAATTCTGAATTGTCTTTATTTTTCTACTGAAGAATGAAGAAAAGAATACTAATAATTCACTATTCCGTGGTGTTTCAGTGGAGGACAGCCAAGAAAATCCTATGTTGGATGGTAAGTGAGATGAGCAAGTATTCAGAATAAATAAATATATTTCTGAGCCAAAATTATCTATGAAACATCAAGACTTAGCGGGAGCTTAGTAGTTGAAAAGGGCTAAATGTGAGTCTCAAAAGTTACCTAAAACAGGTATCTAAAAAGGGGGTAAATGTGAGTGTCAAAACATACAAAAAACATTTCAGAATTTGGGTGTAATAGATGTATAAGGATATGTCATTGCAGAGAAAACCCGAATCTGCGTAAGTCCCAATTGACAATCTATTACATGGCCAGAGACAGCTTATCCCCAAATTATAGTTACCTATAAGACAGATGTGATTGAGGTTGTTCTATGAAGTTTTAAAGATCTTATATGTCTAATACCAACACCTTCAAACTCTGGAGAACAGACTGTCTTCCAGTGACGTCTGCACTGCTTGTAGCATCTAGAACAGTCTCAAGAACAGATTGACAAGTAGTAAAAAGTATATCTTGAAGCTACCAGTGTATGAAAACATAGATATTCACATATCTATATACCTATATCCATATTGATATCTATATTAGATAACCTATCTAAGAACAAGTTATGCAGAAAAAAAAAGATTCCCAAAGATTCCCAAATATTACAACTGTTCAAGAAGAGCTGGGGGCTGGAAGTACTATTCTATCCAGTTCCCTTCATTTTAGGACAAGGAAATATTCAATCACAGTGGTTCTGTTTATTAATATTTAGCTTCAGCTTACCACCATTTAAACCTTTATTTATGATGCCAGTTGTTTAGCATACATTTCTGAAGTTAGATTGTGTGTGCAATTCTCATTCTGTACACATCATCAAATCAATTATTTTACGAATATTGAATTCTTGGTATAATGCAAGAAGTACTAGAATTTGAAGGTTTTCTGCCTATCTCTTTGTGTTTTCTCTTGGAAAGTCTATAGGGGAGATGTACCTTGAATTTAATTGAAGACAAATGCTGTTCTTATCACAAAGGATGGCTGGAGGATAGAGAAGAGCTGTTCAAGTGAACACTGTTCCCTTTCAAACCACTTAATTGAATGTGCAAAGGCAGGCTGTATGTCTCTAGTCCCATTCTCTTCTCATTTCAATCCCTCATAAATGCCTGAAAAGAGCTTATTATCATTGGAACCGAATAGTCCTATTAGAAAAGGTTGTCTATGATTACTCTTAATCTTAAATAAATGCATCTGAGAGCAGAGAATAATAACAAATCTCTTCTTCTAAGGTATTGCAAACCAAGGTGACCCTAAAGAAGATCTATGCACCGATGTTGATCATGAGAAATATAACATAAAAAATGAAGATATTGATCCTTCCAGCTCTGAAGATTCTGCCCTATGTAGGGTAGTGCTGTCCAGGTATGAAGTGATGCTTGCCTATAAATATTTTGGTAATTTTGATTTATCTGAAAAGAAATAAGAGGAAGAACTATTTTCTCTTACTTATGAGAAATCAGCAATGAGTTGTCAATAATTAGAGTTTTAATACACTATCCAACTCATTAAGTAGCTATTGGAGGCAAAGGTAGGTATATTAATCTATTAGGGTCAAAAGTATTACAAGATAAAGTAGAGTTCTTTCAAGTTAAGCCCAAATCCATGTTGCTGTCTTGACCAAAATATGAAAGTGGTTTGCCATTATCTTTACCAAGATTTTTTTTTAACTTGTAAGTCTATAGCCTTGGGATGTTCCTCTGGTTTCTCATCTAAATACCAATAGGCTATTACTGTATAACTTTTTTAACATCATGCAATATTGACTAGATCAGTGTTTCTCAACCTTAGCAACTTTAAGACATGTGGGCTTCAACTCCCAGAATTTCCCAGCCTGCATGAGAAGCCTTCAACTAATTTCGATTTTTCTTCTACTTCTTATAGCTAATGATGGTAGTGATGATCATGATGACAGAATCTTGTCTTGCTACACACTGAAACGTATCAACTTCACTTAATTGCCTTCCTTTCTGTAGAGATAGATTGTATACTTAATTAAGAGGACAATTGCAGAGTATTTGTCTTTAATAAAGAGTTGGAAATGATCCGTTTTCATTAACGTTTATAGAAAGGCAGAGAAGATTGAGGATTCTGGGGAATGTGTAATTTTGTTAATTACAAAGAATGGGACGCATGTATATAAATGTTGCATATTGTATCCATTTTCTTTAGTGAATTGCCTGAAAGAGAAGACGGCGAAGGAGAAGAAACTCCAATTTTTAGTCACTGGGGACCCCCTCAAATGTATGTTGATAAATATTTCAGTATTTCTTTTGCCTTAATAATAATTTGAGGTGTGGATCATTAAGTATAGGAGAAGAGAAGCAATGCACCTCTCTTGCTGGAGGCACTTTGCTTAATCATTGGGTATACCATCTGGGAAGATTAGTGTGACAATAGTTCCTTGTAGTATGCTAAAGGCAGAATTAATATTTATCAGGTGTTCTGCCAAATGATCTTATATCAGTTCCATTGATTTTTACATAATTTCTTGTAAGGCTGTGTGCAAAATGGAAAGTGTTTTTATTTCAACTTTGAAAGACTCATACTATGTTTAGGATTGGGAAATGTGGAATATTTTAGTTGTTTCCAGGCTCAGTGAAAACAAAATCTGGAGGGTTCTTACAGGGTAAATAGGACAAGGTTGATTCAGCTAAGCCATCTTTTCCTTCCTTTATATGATTTGGATACTGGCGGACTTCCTCATTTTCCCAGTAGCTTCCTTTCTTTACTTCGTAGTCCTTATTTGGAGTCAAGCAAATAGGTAGCAGCTAAAGGGAGGTAGGAAGAGGGAGGTGCTAATGGAGAATGGATTAGCGATGCTTGAAGCCAAAAACAATGGAAGGGACAGCTGTGCAAACAGCCAGTCCATCTCTGATTTTCCCAGCATCTTTCTTTCTCTACCTTGATTTTAGGTCCAGCATATCTACCTGGCCCACTGACCTCCAATCTTCCCTGAGCTACCCAGTCTCCATAGCTTTTTTACATTCTTCTCCAAACACATCTGCCTGAATCATGGCCATGCCAGAACTTTTATGTTTCTTTAGATTGCCCCAAACTAGCTATTCTATGCATGAAAACTTTTACTCTTGCCTGACTTTAATGCAATGAATTATACAGTTTATGTTGTAGTTTATATATATATTCTTCATATGTATTCTATTAGCTGACTTGCATGATATGCATTGGTTCTTATTAGCAGCTCTTTCAATTAAGAAAATTATATGCCTTAAAGAAAATAAATGCTTAATTTTGAGTACTTTCTAGTAAAGTCCAAGAGCTGTAACTCTTGCTGCAAAAATATTAGTAAAGTTGAGGTTATTTCTTCATAAACAGCTTGTAGAATGCTTGTTTCCTTTTATTTTATTATCACATTAAATCTTATAAACAAATATAATATAATATGATTTGAAACCAAAAAGAAATAATTAAGGAAGCTAACTGTATTTATCCAGTCATTCTAATGTGATTTTCCTGACTGTACATCAAATTGATACATTCATATAACACAGATAATAAGCATCCCTCTTTTTCACAACAGTACAGTTCTTGAAATTCACATATGAAAATGTCATGTTTTATTTTAAAAGGGATAGATTTCATGGGGCTGAGTGACATTTGGTGTTCAGTGACTGTATTTATTAATGTATCGAGGGGCATGGACTACAGTGAAGAAAATTAACATTAATTATTTTAATTAAAATTAAAAGGCAGATGTTATGACTTATTTTTAGTTTCCTGAAACTTTAAAGGGATTGGATTTAAAATGGAATTAATTCAGGGAAGACTGAAATGAAGGACCTAGGTATCATGCAATCTGCAGCTGCTGTCCACTCACATTGTGGTCTACTGTACAAGAAACCAGAAGCTTTGAATTTCTATAAGGTCACAGATTTTAGCAAAAATCATGAAGCTCCAACTTCTTGTATTCAGATCATTCTTTCTCCATACAGAATTGAAATTTTTCGGGAGCCCCATGTTCCTCTTGGTATCAGTATTGTTGGGGGACATACAATGATAAAACGCCTGAAGAATGGAGAAGAGCTTAAAGGAATATTTATCAAACAGGTTTTGGAAGACAGCCCAGCAGGAAAAACAAAGGCTCTCAAAACAGGAGATAAAATTCTTGAAGTAAGTTTGGCGTTCTTTAAAACTCTGTAGCTGTCTGCATCTGCCTGCTTGAACAGGCTCAATTTTTAGAGAGATTCTATTGACTACAGATTACAGATTTAGTAAATAGTAAATATTTGCAGCCTAACTTTAGCTGCTTATCTTATGTGTGAATACAAAATAATTATCATGTAAGATGTAATTGTGGCATTTGAATTTACTGTTCATTTTTTTTTTTTTTGAGTGGGCTGGCCCTTATACTCTACAGAGAACTGCAGATGCTACTTATCTACATGAGAAAAGATTAATAAGTCCTACTAGAAACACATGCATAAATAAAAAAAAATATTTTTGACATATTAATGACAAGGAGACTAGAAAATGAGCTCACTATTCATGGGGAATTTCTCTTTGGGGATCTTGTAACCATCAGTTATCAGGATTTTTCTGTGGAGTGGTGCAGTCAAGAGGAGAGCATCTTAAAGCCAAAACAGTCAGAGAATAACAGGAAATGCTACTGCTGTCAAAACACATGCAATATTAGGAAACCAAATATGCATGTACATAAAGCAAAATGAACAGCTTCAAATAGAAGTTTCTTAAGTTCACTAAAGAAAATAAATTCAGTGTACTGTTTAATATGGCCTTGGGTTGAATGAATAAACCCAATGTTATTTTAAAAAGTCCAAGAATTTGATCTTTTTAAAAATGTTTAATTTTTTTAACTGATCTAATTGAAGTATTTCTAAATGTCTTTGTATTGATTAGATGTTATGTAGATGCTGTGAGTAACATTTTAATCACGGGACTATATCTGTCATATTAGCAAGGCTCTTTGGGGTTGTTATTCAGGTCTTTCAGCTGACCAAGATCTTTTTCTAGAATTTGGAACAGAAGAAGTAAATCTAAATGAGCTTATTTCTCTGCAGGTATCTGGAACAGATCTACAAAATGCTACTCATGAAGAAGCTGTGGAAGCTATCAAAAATGCAGGCAACCCCATTGTTTTTGTGGTGCAAAGTCTGTCAAGTCTTCCAAGGGTAAGTTAACTCCACTTATTTACTTTCTAAAATTTAATTTTGATGGAGAATGGATTCCAATGTGGGAGAGAGAAAAAAAGATGGGCATCAGTCTGTATGTAGACAACTCTATTTCTTAGGAATAGTTTTTGTTTGTTTTCTTTTCATTTTTTCTCTTTTTCTTCATTTTGATTCATTCACACAATTTTTTTCCCATTAGGATACATTCATCCATCCATCCATTCATACACATTTGTATTTTGTAGATAGTTTCAGTAATAAATCCCAAGAAAAAGAAAGGCGACAAGGATCAGGACACAGAAGAAACTGAAAAGGTAGGTGCAGTCTCTCAGTTTCCAAATAAGTCATCATTTTAAAACAATGTAAAATTGGACAAAGGCAAATAATATTTGAACTTACATAGTAGATTTTCTGACATGTTTTGAAAAGATAAATAAAATTTACTTCTAATTGCCCTTGATCTTTATTACTGTTTATGCTATTATATGTAAATGTTGAATAACATTAGAAGCAATAACAACACCTGTAACAAAGAGGAAATAGGGAAGTGAACTAAAAATAATAAAGAATTACAAAGCCAACAGGTATCTGTTTAGAAGTAAGTGCTAATTAGTTCATTGGGGCTTGTTCCCTTGTTAAGTGGGTTAGAAATGAAATAAACCTCTTTGTAAAGGATTTTCTAGAAATAGTCCACATCTAAAATAAATATAATCTAAATGTTCTAAAATGGTCCAATCTGGAAATGGGTCTATTCTAAACTTTCCTAATCATTCACATTAGGAAAGTAAAAACATATTGGTTGTGTTTTTGTAATAAAGTTTTTATTAAGAAATTTAATTACAATAGTAAAATCTAATACAAACTATACTTAGACAAAGCTGAATAAAAAGAAAGAATGGATAGTATATGAGGAAAAAAGAAAAAGAAAAAATAATAAAATCAGAAAAGAAAAATATATATAAAATATATGTTATAAAATAAAATATATAAAAAAGTGATTTCCAACTTTCATCACAATAATAAACAAATTTAATAACTCTTCATTGTCCTTTAAGGTTAAACAGATATCTCTTCCTCCATATCCTGTCCATTATCTACAAGCAAAACTATAAAACATCTACTTTTCAACCCTGTTGTCAGCAAAAGTCATGCGTGAAAGACCAGATCGACATGAAGATTTAATTAAACTGATTTATTGCTAATAAAATCCTATGCATAGGAATCTTCTCAACTAATTGTTGGCACGTGCTTAGAGTTGGATAAGGGTCAACAGCACTCAAGGGGAGTGGGACTTATCTTATGGCTACTTAGGGATTCTAAGGGATTTACTCTGCCAGGCCTTCTCCTACAAAAAAGTCCATGAAAAGTTGTCAGAACATTGCTAAACAAATAAATACCATTTTAATTTTGATCAAATAAACCAATTTTATATTTTTCCTTTTACTTCTAAAAATCTTTGATTCAATCAAATATTGTCACATGATTTTATTTCTCTTCAGCTCTTTTTTATCCCATTGCACAGATTTCTTTAAGGCTTTAATAAGCTTCTTTTGTAGATCGAAAAAGAAAAAAAATTGCTGGTCATTCTCATGATATATCATTTATATTTCCATTTTAATTTTAAAAACTTCAGCCAGTTCCTGTTGTATATCCAGTAAAGCGTCCTTTTCCAAATCATTCTTTTGGCCTGTATTTGTAGTTGTAGATTCTGTACTTTATCCTGTCAGATAAAATTTGTTAGCCATATGTCAATCCTTTATTAACATCTTTTAGACACAACCTATCCATAGAAACAGGTATCTTTAGTATAGGTCTAATATTGAAGTTACTAACTTCCAGATCCATTCTTCAAAAATTTCTTAATATTTATGATATTTGTTGTGACCCCAACTCCCGAGCCTGTCCTAACAGAGGAAGAGGACTCAGAAGGTGATGGGGAGAAACTGATAAGGCCTCCCTCTCCAGGACCCTCCTCTCTGGCAATGCCTCAGGTTCCATCCGAAGGCCAAGAGGAACAGCCTGGGATATGCCAGGAGGAAAGCATATTGGAACAACAACAGAGAGGGAGCGAGGATGATGAATCCTGGCTTGATCCCAGGCAGCATCGGAGGGAGAACTTTTTGCTACTGAACCGGACTGAGGATAAACTCAGTCTTGCTTACTGTGAGTGAAAACTGACTTGGCATGCATTTCGCAGTTTACTGCCAAAACTCTTATCTGCAAGGGTTTCTAGTCTGATTGCTTAATAAAATCTTGGCAGGCATGCCTAGTTGTGTGTTTGCCTGTGTGAGGAAGGGGGACAGAACAATATTATAACATTTTTTGTCATTTTGACAGTCCCAGTATTAATTGAATCATATATGCTTTTTTCCCCTACTGCTTAAAATCTTTACTTGCCTCTAGTGTCCAGTTTCTAAAATCATCACTTATCCTTTGTCATGACTTGCAACAAGCAGGATAGCAAGAAGTAGTCTTTCAAGAAGTTATTTTTATAGTTAGTTCCAAAATCTTACAGTAAAAGTCAATATTCCAAATTTATCTTGATCTTTAATCCTTTTGTAACTTTCTTAGATCAAAATCTGATTTAGCTTTTTCTGCTTATTTCATATTCCTTAAATTATTAAGCTTGTAATTAATATTTTGTTCAAAGTTGAAGATAAACTCACCCAATGAAGACTTTTCAAATTTGTCATTCTGAAGAATTCTAATAGCTTCAAAATAGTTAATAGGTAATTTCTGAAAGTGATTAAAAAGTGAAGTTTGCATACTTAGTGTCCTTTAAAAGGCTCCGCTTTTGAGCAAAGTGGCTGATCTCATCATCTCCCATCAGTCAAACTCATGGAAAACTGATGTCCTATATCTCCTTGCAAGGAGCAGCCATCCGGATCACATGCGGGTGATCTCCTGTCTTCTCTTTATCCAGAGAAGTTGCCAGGAACCAGTCTACTCACAAGTTCCTTGATCTTTGCCACAGTCATTGACTCTGCTTTTGCAGAGCATTGCATCTTCAATTCGCTGTACCTCCGCAAAAGTCCCAAAAGTAAAAACAAATTGTGAGGTAACCTGATTCATGATATAATTGATTGATTGTTGATAGATAATCACTTTTCTTCAACAAGGCTATTTACATGAGAAACTCTCTGGACTCTCCATAAGAAAATTAATGTAGGCTAGGATGAATCTTTAGAGCTGTTGGTTTTCCTTTGAAAAATATGGAAATTATTACTGTCATGGTGTGTGAAAAGAAAAGTTCGGATGAATGTGTCTAGCTTTGTATGACTAATTGGGAGCACGGATGATTTAAACAGTCACATTTCATTTTTCCGCCCTCTCTTTTTCTGTATTTTTAATCATCTTCCCTGATGTGGTGTTCTTGGGGATTTGAGAGCTTGCATACTAGTTTATAAATCTTGAGCTGTACTAATAAATGTACTGCTGTAATATAGATTGGATGAGCTCTCCTTTCCCAAGCTTTTTTTTTAAAAAAAATAGTTTGAATAGTCCAAACTTGGTCAAAATGATTGGAAAACCATTTCTGATTTTTAAACCAGTGTGCATTGATGGATGAAAATAAATAACATGTTTGAAATTGCTAGTATCCTACTGGTAGTCCTTGATTTGCAACTACAATTGAGCCCTGTTGCTAAGACAGCTGTTAAGTGAGTTTTGCCTCACTTGACAATCTTTCCGACCACTGTTGTTGAATAAATCACTGCAATTGTTAAGTTAGTAACATGGTTGTTAAATGAATTAGGCTTCCCCATTGACTTTGCTAGTCAGAAGGTCTCAAGGACAATGCAACCACCATAAATATGAGCCAGTTGCCAAGCATCTGAATTTAAGTCACATGGAGATGCTACAATGGTCGTAAGTGTGGAAATGATCATAAGTCCCTTTTTTCAGTGCCATTGTAACCAGTCACTAAACAAATGGATGTAAGTCGAGGACTACCTGTATTTAAAGAAGCTATGCTTCAGCAGAGAACATTTTATCTTTCACATTTCTGACAGTAGGATCAACAGCAGTATTTTTCCACTCTAGGTTTCTGTGAGGTCAACCATAAAGTTTCACATTGATGAGTTTGCCTCCAAACTCTAATTTGCTGCAAGCAAAATGGGCAATACATTACATTTTATGAGGACAGACCATTAGTAGCGTAATGCAGAGGTTTTTTTTGTATCTATATGTTTACGCCTAGAGAAACAGAGTACCATTCTTCCAAGTCTTTTGAGTCCTTTGGAGGAGCTATTTTTTTAGAATATGAAAATCTTGCTCTCTGTACCTCCTACAGAAAGAAAGCTGGGAGGAACCAGGGAGTCCTACAATACCTGCTACTTACCCAGAATTGCAGGTTGGAAAGTTGAGACAAAAGTGCTAGGCAACAAGGAAACAATCCTTACCTGACTATCCTCCATTCAAAAATCTGACAAATATAAATCTGAGAATCGGCTTCTTTTCTAATTTGTTTTTGTTTTCTAGTGTTTGTATTACTCCATTTGAACTACCTTGAACTGCCTTCTGATCATGTTCTTTGAAATTATGTTTGCAAATAATTCGGCTACTCTTATAGCAAGACAGCTTTGATTATGCAAAATATGCTGACTGTACCCTAATCCTTCGCATGATTTTCATTTGGGTGGCTCCAACTGACTTTTAAGAACCTTCCTCCTCCTCTACTCCATTCTTCTCAAGATGCTGATCCAGATGACCTAGAGGAGCCAAGGAAAAGTATTCTTACAATTCTCTGATTTTTGTTTCTCTTTACAATTGTAGCTTTTTGTCTGCCAGGCATATTTGTGAGTTGATTGCAGGTAATCTTTAATTTACAAGCAGTGGTGGGTTGCTCCCGGTTCAGCCCGGTTTGGGCAAGTCAGTAGTGGTGATGAAGTGATATCAGTGAACTGGTTCTCTATGACTGTGAGCTGGGCCCTCCCACCCGCCCCCACGTTATACCTACCTTTATTTGTCGTTTTTTAACCCAGCTGATAGGCACAGCAGAGTGGATTGCTACGCCTCAGCTGAGCAGAAATCTAAAGTGCTTGCGCAGAGCGCATGTTTGGCAATCACACGCAAAGTGCGTGCGCGAAAAGAACCGGTGGTAACATCAGTTGGAACCCACCACTGCTGTGGTAGGTTCCAAAAAGCTGGTTGCTAAACAAAATTCTGGTTGTTTAGTGAGTTTTGCCCCATTTGATGACTTTTCTTGCCAGAGTTGTTAAGTGAATCAGTGCACTTGTTAAGGTACTAACACAGTTTGTTGTGGCCCGCCAACGGCCTGCGCGGATTGTGGCTGATCCCGACGAGGAGGCTGGTGTGGTGTGCCAGCAGCTGGCACAGCTGGCGCTCGCGTCGGACAGCGAGGAGGCCGAAGAGGATGTGATGCCAGAGGCAGAGACTCAGCCAGGGCCTTCAGAACCTCCAGAGGCTCCTTCCAGTGGAGAGAGCGAAGTGGAGGAGCCTCTCCTCAATGCTCGGGCATGCAGGGCTGCCAAAAGGCAGGAGTGGCTACTGAGGAGGAGGAGGTCTACTCGAGAGTACGGCTTGAGGATAATTGGCCACTCCCTTAGCCTATTTAAGTTGCACGCAGTTAGTGCTTTCTTGCTAGAAACAACGTCTCATTACTACAGAGCATCTTGGAGAGCGAGTGACTTCTCATATCTGGTTTTCTAGGCTGGTTGCCAACCTTTGTCGGACTTTGTTCTTAATAACTTTGATAAGGACCCTTTGCACGAGAAGCCTGCATTCTTGAAAGGGGTTTGTTTGGAATTAAACAGTGTTTGCGAAGCTTGGTGTGTCATATTCTCTGGGAATCCGAAGCTGGGGCAGAACACAGTTGTAAAGTGAGTCTGGCTTCCCCACTGACTTGTCAGAAGGTCATAAAAGGCGATCTCATGACTCTGGGACACTAAAATCATCATAAATACGAGCCAGGTGCCAAGCGTCTTGAGTTTTGATCACATGACCATAGGGATACTGTAATGGTCCTAAGCATGAAAAATGGTCATAAATTACATTGTTGTAATTTATGTTGTACTTCGGAGCGGTCACTAAACAAAAGTGTAACTGTACTTCTATTCTTAAATGCTAGAAGTTGGAGCTCAACCATTACTGCCTGTGGAAAGGTTTATCTCGAGACTTTGTTTGATGCCTCTTGTAGAGAAGTTCCCTTTTTGAAATGACTCAGCGGTTAAAGACGCTGAGCTTGTCAGTTGGAAAGCCCAGTTTTGAAACCCAAGTGCTGCGCAATGGGATGACCTCCCTTTCCTCCTCTAGCTCCTGCCTATCTAGCAATTCGAAAATATGCAAATGTGAGTAGATTAATAAGTACCACTTCAGTGGGAAGGTAGCGGCATTCCATGTGTCTTTGACGTATATCCATGCTGATCACATGACCATGGAAAAGGACAACGCTGACTCCTTTGTCCAAGAAATGGAGATGAATACTGAGCCCTAGAGTCGGACACAACTGGACAGGGAAACTTTTACCTTAAATATTTATATGTATTTCCTCAAGTTCAAGGTATAGGTTTTAAGTTAGAGGATATCCTTTTTTCTTCTTCTTTAATTCTAATATTGTGGTGTCATCACAATAAACTTCTTCTTACATCAGGAAGAGTCTTTAATCACCCTGGAAATAATTGACTACATGTTTTTGCAGGGAGGTTCTTCCCAAAGCACTCATGTTCATTTAGCCATTAACAGTATAAACATACCCATGTAGACTGACTCCTGGAGCTGTGCTATTGAGACTGCCTGTATGGGGGCCTCCATGAAGAAATTATTTATTTGTGTGTTTGTTGAAGAAATACTACTTGTCACTGAACTGGCTACATATCATGTCTCTAAAATAATGCAGACCACCAGCTAGTTTTAACAGCCATTTCATTGTGAAGATAGTACTCAGATTTTCCCCCTGTGAATAAAACTCAAATACTGCCTTGCATGAGCCCCTGGGCAGAGATTGTCGTGCTAAATTATGCAGTATTTCAGCATTCGTAACATGGACAAGTAGTTGTATGGGTAATGGTTTCTTTTCTACATGAATGATTCCGTCCCTGGAGTACTAAAAGTGCAAATGGGTGTTAAGTTCAAAAGCTAATGGAATACATGACTTCTGGAAATAATGATATCAAATATAAATAGGATGTCATTTCCCCCACCATATTCCAGATAATGTTGGATTTGGTCAGCTGGAGAATGACAAATAGGGAAAATGTCATTAAAAGGATGGTCCAATACATTATTGTGTAGATATTCTTCAGTTAACCATAGAATTGTGGTCTGGGCTAGTTATTTCCATAGAGTATAAACCTTGATTATGGGTGAGTGAAAGCATAGACAACATTTCCTAGAGAGGAAGCTGAGTCAGGAAAAGAATGAATTTTTCCTCTAGACTCTGAAGATTGGATTTAGTAGATTCAGTGGATTTAAACAACACAGCATACTCCGAGAAAGGCAGCATAAAATAATCATCTTCATAGCACATACGAAAATAGTATTCCGATAAAGGTTAAAGTGAAAACAAAACAGAGCTGCATCCAAACTGAGTGGATTGACTCATTGCAGATTAATTTGTATTGTCCTCAGTAACAGCTGTTGCCACAGCAAGCAGCAACACAAGGCTGAAGTCAAACAGGGTTAGATCTGGTTAGCATTTAGATGGGAAACCAGAAGGAAATTGCAGCTGGACATTAGTCTGGGAAGTAAAATAACAGCCAAGACGAAATTGGTTGTATATGGTTTGTTCATATACAATCAACAGAAAGCTGACAGACTATTTTGGGCCAATCTCTCTCTCTCAGACAAGCCAACTCACAAGGGTTGTCGTTGTGGGGAAAACAGGAGAAGGAAGGATGATCTTTGTTGCTGTCTTGAGTTATTTATAAAGTAATAGTAACGGGATATAAATAAATAAATAATTACATTAGAATTCAATATGATAGAGTTTTTAACTTTTATCTTTAGAATTCATTAACCCGTTTAATCTGTTGCTTTTCAACAGATTCCTAAACTTGGTAGGATAATTTGGATAGAGTGCCAACTGTTTTCCTCCGCTACCTAAATCGCGGAAGGTTGTTTTTATTCTCTTTTTATTTTGATGCTATTTTTGTCTTAACAAGATGAAATTTATTTTATCCTGATTTGCAATTACTTTCAGTTTGAACTGCCCTTCCTTTTTATTGCCTATTGCAATTTTTCATTTTATTTCCATCCCACATTCAAAAGGCATGCTTTTACAATCAGTGTCGATCGTTCACATAAGACTGCAACTCCGTATTTGCAAATGTCTTTTTTTTTACCGCTATACTATTACTATAGTAATATAGTATTGTAGAAAAAAATATATTTTTTCTAAAAATGACATGCAAAACCATGGCTTATGACTCTCTGCCATATAGAGTAGCATTTTTCAAGCCATTTGTGTTGATCTCATGACAATTTGGCACTCACTGTTTGTTTACTAAAGTGCATTTGCCTTTAGCGATGTGATCGTAGTTGAGCTAATTCAGCCCTACAGGACAGCTCACAAATGACTCAAGCCTGAGAAACAGATGCTTGGTTGTGTCTACTGGAGTCCTCCAGTTCTCCTTCTTTAGGGGGATATGTACCACTATATGCACCATTATCGAAAATGCCTTTATTTATGCGAGGTAATGAGATTTTATTGTGAGTTTTATGATACATTGCTTGTTAACCAGAGGTAATATTGAAAATAGCATAGTCTGTAATGTTTGATGGACCTTTATAAGCTGTCTTTTTTTTTTCCTAAGTGCCTCGAAAGCTGTAGATTTATTTTATAAAGCATTTTGGTCCTTGGTGAAAATTGTATTTTTACATTTAGGTTGTCAGTTAAGCGCTGTATTATCATTGTTGTTTTTGTATAAGGAGACATTAGCATCTTAGTATTTCTTGCTTCTAACGAGCTAATATAAAATCAATTTTTTTTAAATGTGGACAAAAATGTGAGGCTTATTCAAAAGAAGCCCAAAGTCTATGAAACTGGAAGCTACTTTTGAAAACAGCATTTATAAACTACAGATATATAATGGATTCTTTATCAGAACTATCTGAAATTTATAGGCATAATATGAAAGGCTATTTTTTTTTCTTTTTACAAGAAAAGTGGAATTCCACCACCCATGAAATTGCCACCACCTTACAAGGGAGCAAGAAAGTCCAGCTCGGATGATCCAGAAGAGGAAGAGGACGAAGAAGAAGAAAATGCTTTTACAGAGGGTAAATTATGAAGTATTATTGCTACATTCAGAATTCTTCTTTGGGGCTCTTACCTAAGGAAAAGTTGCTTGTGGTCACCATATTTACTGTATAGAATTGAATTTTTTGCCAGAATATGAGAATTTTGAATTCCAACGGGAAAAAATGCTGGAAAAAATTTGAGAAATAAGAGGAAGTACCTCTTCCTACACAATCCCTTGTTAAACTACCAAAAGATCTACAGAATTATTCAAATTGAATGGGTAAAAGCTCCTTAATGCCATAATATCTTAGACCCTTTTTTCAGGAAGTGTGGACAAAATTTACTTAAGATAGAGATCGTGAGTATGCCACTTCTCAGTAAACTGTTTAACTATGCATAACCAGCATTGAGGGTAAGTAGTTTTGGAAATACCAAGGTTCTCTGACCACAATCATTTTTGACATGTGAATCATTTTGAAATTTCATGTTTGTATTTTATTTATTATGTAAATATGTTATATATAATAATTATATATTCCATACAAATATGTAAATAAAACATTTCTATAATGTATTTATGAGGGTAATAGTTTCTCCAGCTCATGTGATTACTATTTTTAACCCTCCCGGTTAGCTTACAACAAGCAAAGTCAATGGGAGAAACCAGATTCACTTAACAACCATGTTACTAACTTAACAACAACTGTGGCAAGAAAGATTGTAAAATGGTACAAAACTCACTTTACAACTGCCTTGCGTAGCAACATAAATTTTTGGACTTAGTTGTGGTTGTAAGTTGAGGAGAACATAACAGTATAACAGAGTTGGAAGGGACCTTGGCAGGGGCAGGTTCCAAATCCCGTCGCTACCAGTTTGCTTGTGTGTGTGTGCGTGGTGCTTCTGCGCATGCGCAGAAGCGTCCAGACGGGTGGGCGGAGTCTCCCACCACCGCTACCAGTTTGCACGATCCGATGCGAACTGGTAGCAACCCACCACTGGATCTTGGAGATCTTCTAGTCCCACCTCCTGCTCAAGCAGAAGGCCCTTCCTGGTTGTCAAATCTCTTCTTAACAACTTCCAGTGATAGAGCACCCACAACTTCTGAAAGCAAGCCGTTCCACTGATTAATTTTTCTAATTACATAATCCTTTATTAAGCTATCAAAAGATCCAATCAGGATAGCTTTAAAAGGAATTAAATAAACTTAAAGAGCAAACTTTCTCAACCCTTTTCCCTGGAGAAATCCTTGAAATAATTATCAGATCTCAGGGAACCCCTGCCTAAAAATCTCCAATACAGTTTCTGTCTAACCTACACAATCAAAATTTTTGTAGGTCAGGGTAAACTGTGGAGTTCTTGATGCTTGAGCTTGGTTGTTTTCTTGCAGATGTTTCATTACCCAACTAGGTAACATCATCAGCGCCCTGATATGTACTGATCATATTACTATCTGGATAGTGAAACATCTGCAAAGAACAGTGTTCAGGGAGCATCAAAGACCCCAAGGCATGTCTCTGAATATCACTTGCTTGTGTGTACTAGAGAAGAGTGACTCTGCCTTTATAAGTTATTTAAGGCACATGTTTACTCTTCACAGTTTATGAATCAGTTTGCAGAATAAACAGTCAAAGTCACAAAACAATGAATCTGTTTCTGTTTGCCCTTTTCCCTAATTTTCTGCCCAATTTTAATCGAAAGTTCCTATTACACAATTAAAACAACAGATTCGTTTCAGGAAAAATGCAAGCCAAATTACTTTGCCAATACTAGCAAAAAGGGTGGCGTGGTTTCTTATTGATCACAATGGGAATGCGATGTTGGCTTTTAGTCTGATCCAGCATAGCTCTGAAGTTAAAATGCTGCCTTTCCAATAGATGTCACTGCAGTCATTAACAATGGTGTTAGATTTTCTTACTGTATCAGAAAGCATTTCAATCCATCAAACAAAATGACAATCAAAGAGCTTTTAATTGGGATGCTATAACACGTCCTTTAATGTTTTTAAATCGTGTTCTGAAATTAGCTTTCCTACATGATATTTCTTTAAAAATAATGGACTGTTACTATACATCATCATGGGTATCTGTGCACAGATTTTCGCCTTTGTACAGATTTTAAACCTATTGGTTCAGTACTCAAATACTGAAAATGCATTTGAGTGTAAGAAATGTAAGCGTAATAAGGTCTGAGAATGACTGTAACCACTAATTTTTCTTTGGCTCTGCCAATGCATTGAACAGATGTTGCAGATGTAGCTCTCTGCAGGCATGTTACAAAAGATGTGCTTTCTAAATGGAAAGAATATTAATATTGGCTATTGATACATACCAACTTCCTACACAGCATTCTTGTGATTTTATTTAATTGCTATATAAAATAAATAATTTTAAACATATTCTCACTGATCACTGAAGGGGGATTAAATGGATTCGAATCTGCTTGGCAATGATAAGGATTTAGAGCAGACAGTTTTTCTGAAGATATAAACATAATCCCACTCTGCAGCTCTGATCAAGGGAAAACTAAAATATAATACTTAGCCAGCTCTGCACTCACAGATTATTAGAATCGGAAACAACCATTTATGCATACTGTATAGGTGTGTGTGCACCTGACTGGACATTACAAACCATTTATCTGCAATTAAGAGTGGGTCATTAAGAATCAAATCTGCTAGGCTCGCAATCAAGAAAAAGGGCAATGTTGTTTCAAAATGATTTCTGTTTCAGAGGAGGGATGCTAGTTGAATCGTAGTGATTTCCAGCAATGCAACAACAATACAGCAGCAGTAGCAACAGCACTAGAGCCTCGGTGGTTCAGAGATGGGAGACCAGGAATTTCTCTAGTTGTGCTTGCAGGCTTGCTGAAGGATGTAACTCTTTGCTTGTGGGCAAGATTGAAATTAATTGCGATTGGTCACATATCATAGTGGAAAGAGAACTGACAGATTGCCCTTAAGGCGAGGGAAATCTTTCAAGCAGGCCCAAGGTCGTCAGAAGAAAGACGGAGCTCCGATTCTCTCTGTGTGTTGTGTGGTGAGGACTGGAGCTGCTCACAGCATTTGAATGTTTGTGCGGAATGCAGATACCTACAATTGTGTTCTAATGCAGCAATGGTGCTAGGGGGTTTCCCAGGTATGTATTAAAGCATCCACAAATGCATTCTACTTTTCTTTTTTTTCATTGCCTGCTTTCAGCATTTAATGATGAGTGAAAATGAAACACGAACTGGATGTGGCATTCTTTCTCCTGTTTGAGTTATTTGCATGTCGGAAGAGTTGCTGGTTAGATGAATTCTGCTTTTAAGAAGGCACCGGCTAAGTTTAAGTTGGAAACCGTTAATGAAATGCACTGAACGGCTGGGAAGCTGACAGCATCAGTTAATTGTTGTGTTTGCTTAAAATAATAGAAGAACTTAATTATTCTTAACGTTATTGGCACGCAGAAACAGATGTGGTTGCCTTACACTAAGTCTCAGAAGGCGATAGGGAAATGTTTAGCATGTGATAAGAAGCTGCTGTTGAGATTTTGTTCAGCATTTTTATTCTGTAGGGGCAGCAGAATGTAAGTGTCAAAGGAAAACATGCTCTTCTTCACAAAGAGTGATAATAATGTTACTGTATTGCTTGCTTGCTGTGAAAATCTGAATGTAAATAAAGTGATGGGGGGAAATTGTGTTGATAGGTGTCTGGGGGCATACATTCATACATACATAGTACACTCAAGCTACCAGATATGAACCGCAACAGTCCAGATGACCAACAGTTGACAGCAAAGAATTACAGTTTTCAATATTTCTTTGTTGCCCTCTGTTTTTTTGCTTTTTGATACCCTAATCCAAATGCACTCATATGTACATATATCAGGAATATGAATCTGGTGAAAATATTTAATTATTGATGATAGTGATTGTTTACTGGCATCTTTATACTTTACATTCTGAGTTAGAAATGTAAAACTTTATAAGGCTCTAGACAAGTAGGGAATTAGGACAAAGAATTTTTTAGTGAGCCTACCACTTTATAATGGAAAATTTAATGTCATTTCAGAAACTCATAGTATGATATAACAGATTGTGAGGTAGGGTGTGTGAGCATATATCATATTTGGGAAGGGGTTTATATTATAGTACAATATTGTTATAATATAAAACTGACTTCCATTACTACATGCCATAGGTTGTTTTTAAATTGATGTTTTAACACCCAAATAATAAGTTTAGAAATAATATTAACAAACTGTAAATAGAATGCAGTAACACCAGGTTTTAGCCAACAGATGTATTCTAATAAGAATACCCACCATGCTGTTTGCTTAAATTCTATGACTAAAATTCACTGTCATCTTTCTTCTGTTGAAGAATATGATCAGTAACTGTAGAAATCAGTAATCTGCTTTTTTAAAAATCTGAAAGCATTGATAATACCTTCAGAAATTAGCACCACCCAATGCCACCACCATAGGATAGGATAAGATAGGATAGGATAGGATAGGATAGGATAGGATAGGATAGGATAGGATAGGATAGGATAGGACAGGACAGGACAGACAGACAGGACAGGACAGGACAGGACAGAATAGAAGAATAGAATAGAATAGAATAGAATAGAATTCTTTATTAGCCGAGTGTGATTGGGGACACACAAGGAATTTGTCTTGGTGCATAGCTCTCAGTGTACATAAAAGAAAATATACATTCATCAAGAATCATAAGGTACAACACCACTGCAAAAGAAGTAAGTGTACTGTTCCTTTCCAATATCATTTTAAATTTATGATTCAGATGTAAATATGAGCCTTGCTGGCACAGTGGACTAAAGTGCTGTTAAGTAGCACCAGCTGCCTGCAATTACTGCAAGTTCAAATCTCACCAGGGTCAAGGTTTTTTTTTTTTTTAAATTTGATTTATATGCCGCCCTTCTCCGAAGACTCAGGGCGGCTTACAATGTGCTCAGCAATAGCCTTCATCCTTTTGTATATTTATACAAAGTCAGCTTATTGCCCCCACAACTGGGTCCTCAATTTACCTACCTTAGAAA